TCACGAGCTTCTGTCTTCTTTGCTAATGACTTCTTTATTTATCAAGCCTTGTGTCTTGTAGCTTCTATAAAAGTTAGAGAAAATAGGTATATTGTATACTAAACCATTGTTGCTGTATTTATCTTTAACTTATTTTGTATTAAAATTATACCTAATTGGGCAGTTTCACTATTATCTCATTCTTATTTTTAGAAATATCTCTTTTTTCTCTTATATATGTTAATGTTGCAGAGAATATATATATTTTTTGCCTGGTGATTAGCTCAGTACGTATTTAGAACATGGTAAGGCAGGCATGGTCATACAACATTAAGAAATAGTGGATATAAAAGAAAGGAGTCCAAAATGAGTACATGTACACACTTTTTATACACATAGTAATGCTTAAACAACTATTATTTAGTAAGACAAACCTTTTAACCTGTAACCTTTCGCTTTCAAATCTAACCCTTTAGCAATCACGTTAACACAGATTTTAATAAATTACTTATTGTTGCATTACCAACTATTTGATATGTCTGTCGGTAGTCTTCACAGTCACATGTCACACAACGCACACAGACAAACAGATAAGAACACGCGCCACTTCGAGTGGCGTAATGAATGTGCCCTAAAATAAACCGCCATACAATGCTACCATCTTGTATTACAACATTTTGTAAGGAGAGGAAGTAGGAAGGCAGCTGGCTGACTTCTTTTCTTCGAGTCTAATGATGGTTTGTAGTGCATTGCGCTTTTGTTCCGGTGTCCTGTCGCGTGCGCACGTATTCTTTGAGTAAGTAGGTGGAAAGGTGTTCGGCTGTAATGTACCGTTGGGCGTCTCAAGATGTTTTGATTTGATACCACTGTACTCTATTATAGCATTGGAGGGTCCAACCTCGTAATTATTACAGACGTACTCTCGTTTCAAAATCAGTATTTTTTATTATTGGATCTGTTTATGTCTTAGATCAAATCAGCGTTTACCGTGCTCGGGATAAAAGCCACTTTCGCTGAAATATATTTAGTTTTCTTCAGCAGTTTTTTTTTATTTTCAATGTATGAATTTAAACTTATCTCAGGAAAGACCAGTTTGTTCTTTCCTATGCAGTGTAGTACATATCATAAGAAGGTTTTGAAGCATTTGACAATTCAATACATTTATAAAACTAATGGATTCCAATTAGAATAGTCTATGCAAATCCTTCCAGTCAATGTTTCCAGATCCTATTCAGTGTGTCCGTTGAAAAGTGCACGTCAAGTCCAGTGAAGAAAAAAGGGCCTTAACGTTGGGAATTCACTTAAAATCACTGTGAACTAGCGTTACACTAATGTACTTCTGCCGGTATCGTTATGTAATAGTTTTTATATTTGGATAGCAATAGCATACTGTTATGATAATGTACTAACCTGAAAGGTTTCATAATTATTGATTATATACTTAAGTAACCTTAGTAAGTCGTCCTAACAAGTATTTCCAAGTAAGCTAATTTTGCTCACAGTTACTCTTACCATTACGTAACCTAAGTTTACTAAGGATGTTGTGCAATATGTTGTGAATGTTTAATACCTTTATGCATTAATTTACAACTATCTTTGACAACATATATTTAGAGAGTCGCAGCGAACCAAAATGAGTCTAGAACATAGTTAACGTCTAGAACGAATAGTTAGATAATTTTGTCTGTAAGCCCATCAATGTACTCGGGCGTTTATGAATTGTGTAAAATAAATAAAAACCATTTGATGTTATTCTACAACTAGGAAAATAGAATACGGTAGGGTAGTCCTATTTTTTGACCCTCTGAAAATCCCTTTGGATCTCCTTCCTGCTTCTCGGGGATTCGTTAGCCAGGAGTATGTAGTGATGCAACTAAAAACAACGCCGACGGCCGGTCTCAGGTGCCCTAATCTGGGAGGACCCGGATTATGTTATTTCAGGTCCTCCCCGAATTGACGCCATGATTAATCATGCCTTATCCCAGGGGAAAACACTTCCCCCCCCCCGCCCCTTTCAATCGCGCCGTGGTAGCCCGATTGCCGCTTATTGCAATCAGGGCGCCATCCTATCTCCCACCGCAGAAATCAATCTGCCACCAAAGGTCCCCACTCTCTGGTGGCCTGCGCCCCGTCGACGCCTGGTATACGCCGACGTCCTCTACGCTCAGGATCGGCCCTCTCCCGATCAAGTTCAGCGGTCTCTTTCTGGAGCTTTACAGATTCACAGAAAAAGACAAACATGAAACGGACACAAAGTATTCCCAGACTCAGATCAACAATTTGTGGATCACACCAAGTGTCGTCCAATGTGGAGTTTGAACCCACAACACTCGGTGCAGTAGGAAGCGGCGTGGCGACCGCTTAAACCACTACGCCATCCGTACATGTGTGGTTCAATTTAGTTCAATGGTTTGGTTCAGTCAAAATTGGGAGCTAATTTTTTTTTGTAAGCTTAGGGAATATTTTTTTTAATGAATTTACTATATTAGTAATACAATAACTAATGAACAAATATAAATTCTACGTCAAAAACAGTCCGATTCTTAGACTATCCTACTGCTACCCATTCTTACAGGACTGTTTCGAGGTTATACTCCACCATAATCTAATTTGTGCTGGTATAGCACACAATTATTTTTTGTCTGAAAACCTTACCGGGACCTAACACTAAGGGTTCTATGTCGGACTCGAACTGACTAAATCCACACAGCGTTCTGGCATTTTTGGTGTAGGTACTCTAGAAAAGAAATGTGAATGGAACATTAGACGCTTTCGATATCCATTTCATTTCATTTCTGTAAATTAACTACAATAATTTTCACAAACAAACCCATGTATTTTTGAAGAGATGTTATTACGTATGTAAACCATGTATTATACTGGTGTATTTTTACTCTTATGATGGTTATTCTTCTACAAATTATTCTAGTGCTCTAGATTTATTGTCTAATTCCTACACTTTGACGAGTTTAATTATTTATCAGATTATTTAATAAGTCAGATCATATCCGTGTAATTACAAATGATCATAATTAATCACTATCTATTTTCTAAGAGTGTCTTATATGCAGATTATCTGATACTGATACATGAGTAGAAAAAACGTGTGTTGATTTCGTTTTCTTTGCTAAAAGACATGATAATGATATTTTTTATTAAAAGATTAATTGACTAACCCGAATGCTAATAGACGCTATTCTGTCAAAACTACGATAAATTTAATTTTGTTTGGGATTGTTTTAACTTCATGCAAAATTGTAGTTAGTCAAATTTAGATTTATACTTTTGTTACAATTTAATAAATAACCACTAACTAGAGATCCACCAACAAATTTCACAACTACTTTTACTATTTCATTATTATTAATACAGACTATATAAAGTGTTGGTAATTTGTCTTTGTAATGCCAGTTAAATGGAGAATACAGCAAAGAATATAAGTAGAGGACCTTAAAAAGAAATAAAAAAAAAGTTACTTGAACTATACATTACACTATATATTCATACAAAATAACATTAGTGTTTTTTAGAGTCTTCGGTGTATTTAGACTCTTGATATTACAAATGTATCTATACAAACACAACTAATAACAGATAACGCATTAATTTTAACAGGTACGCGCATATATCTATCAACAACACTAAAAGCACAAACATCAACTACTTTTTCTTTCTTCAAAAAGACAATTCCCGCACTAGGAATATATCCTGTGTCGCGGGGGACATTAAATACATTACTGAAACGAACACAAAGAACACCCAGACTCAGTGTTTTTTTTTATTATAGCCATATCCTCTTCTACGCAGTCCATCCATATTTTCTTTGGTCGTCTTCTTCTTTTATATCAAGAACTTCCATACATAAAACTTTCATCACATGTCCATACATAAAATAAAATAATCATGGTAAAGATAGAGTATATTTTTCAACCATTTTGTCAAAATGAAATGCATTACAAAGACTTATCTAATAACAGCATACAAACATCAAATAACAACTACACTATTTAAAAAATACTTTTATTTAGTAACTACACGCAACACAATACCTTATGTTGGCTACCACGTGGACAAAGCTGCAGGACTAGTTAGCCCAATTTAGAAAGGTTGTGAGTAAAAGTGAGCTAAGGATATGGTGTTTGGTGTGATCCATTACGCACGCAATTTAGTATAATTATCCGGCTAATATCCTGTAACCCTCTTCAGTGCTTGTCGGTGCCAGGACATCACGTCAGTACTAATACGTAATAGATATGGAAAGGTTTTGTCCAATTTTATCCACTAATGTAGTATTGGATGCAATACAATTTCTATTTTAAATCTGTTCTATGGATTTGCATTCTTGGTGTGCATACATTTTTATAACTCAATCAGCGTCTGCTTAAAAAAACATTTTAACCAAATTTATTTTTGGTAAATACAAAAAAAAAATAAGTTAATCAATACATCAATAATATTAATAGAGTATCCTTTCACTTGGTTCTTACGAATCACTGTCTCCGCAACGTGTTAGGATTAATCCTTCTCCTTCCTCCCCCTTCCTCTAGAAAAAGAGGAAAAAATCATTGATGCAGGACTGATGACAATTTTGCAATACTAACAGTGGTATTCGTACATCGTAATTCTTAATTGTAGGATCAATTAAGACTGTATTATAAATATGACCTAATTTACTTTTATTATTTTATTTATTTCTAGTTATATAGTATTTAGTTATTATATAATTATAAACATCGGTGATTTTCTAATAAGGAAGATAGAAAATACATTTACATGACTTCAAGAGCAAATGTATTGGACTAATAACAACATATGACCAGAAACTCAATAGGTTCACTATTTGAAACAAAATCGAAATTACAGCATAGCCATTCTAACTGTATACAAAGCATCATTTCAATAATACGAGTTGCTTATCTGCTAAGTAACACTGAATGAGAAATAGTTAAGTTTAAAGAGAAAAAAACCGTACATAAATTGTAATTCTTTTTTTATAATCACAAAAACAAAAAGCCCAAGGTATGATGATATTGTTGACTTGTCCTGTCATATTTAAGCCTGGGTGAGTTGTCTATCATCTCTCGAAATATAAAAAAGTTGTGACTGGTTAAAATACACAATGAGTAGAATCCAAATTATATTTATTACTGTTATAATACTAACAGTAATAAATATAATTTTGATTCTACTCATCTATCTTTTTTTAACTACCTATATTACTTTTTAATCTTATTAAGTTATTTATTTTGTTAGATAAGATAGGCATGACATTGATTATTCGTTTTTATTATTAGAAATGTCAATGAATAATTTAGTTTTGATCATAACACAGTACAATATTCACTGATTAATCATCAAATACATACTATCAATCACTATTAAGTGACTTTTGCTACTAACTGCTTACTAACTTTTGCCCACGGCTTTACCCATGCTAAAAGTATTTCGTATCCATTGGGTTTAGTACTTTTTTCATGATGAAACGTACTATGTTTGTCTTTGTACCTCCGACCTTGATTTCAGCGGTGTTTATGTAATAGTCTTGATAGGGAGGTAGTTTGTTACTTTGACGTTATTAATAACTGATAGTGTATATGGTGAGGATCAAGTGATTAATGCACATTCGATATTCAATAAAAGTTGGGTGAAGAAGGGCTCTGCAACACCGGGTAAATCAATGGGCTCATGAAGCACACAGCCGTCGTTATACCAACCGGAGTTCGTTTTACCAGCCCATTGCTCAGTCTCAACGGACAAAAGGTGCGAATAGTTGTAGAAGTTATTACTAGAAATTTAGGACTGAGTCGGCACCTATTTATTATCAATGCGAAAGACAGCCCTCTAGGCAGAGGATATTTTAACATGAAGCTAACAGTTGCCCACGAGTGGCCCACACAAAGTGCAACCACACCATAAAATATTTGTTCTGTGACCATACAGCCGCACACACATCTATTAATGCATTTTGGAACAAAACATACATTTACCTGTATTATGATATTCCTTTATCTTTATTTACCTTTTTGTAGTAATTAGTGCACTTTGGGAATACACAGGGAGGCATTTTATGGATTTTCTCGAATAAATTAATACATGCCCTCGCTTCCAGCGGTCCTAATTAGGACCCACGCGTTTATCGTGGCGTATCTACCTCTTGTCTGTATTTAATAACATCGCATACAAATAATATTCACTTAAATTTATGATGTTATTACTGATTCCAGCCTGAGATCCGTATTAATAATAGGTGCCTGTGGGCAGTCGGTTATATAACATATATATATGTATAACAACATTAGTTGAACGTCAATTACTGTAGGCAGTTCAAGTGAGATAGATTTAAAAGTCCAGATTTCATTGGTAGCTGTTCTTAATTATTTTTTGTACCCTTTCAGGGGCGGAGGAAGATGGAGAACCTACTTTAAATGAAGAAAATAATGGTAAGTAAAGATATTTCACTTTTCTTTCATCACAAACATCACACATCTTCACATTACATTGGTTTTTTTTTTTTATGTAGAGTAAGTAACATGCAGAGGCTATAAGTATTGGCTATCTAGATAATATTATAATTATCTTTGAGGATAACTATACCAATAAATACATTAAATATTTCGATAAAATTAGAGATGACAACACAGCATTATGACACATCAAAATTCTAGTACACACTAAAAAGAACACTGTTATAAAGAAAACAAAAACTATTATAAAAACTCTTATTAACTATAAATTTATCATTCAAAATAAACACCCACCTCGTTAATCTTTTTAATAATAATATAGATTAAATATACCTTAAGTGTATCTACGATGTTTTACTTCTTAGATATCAAAAATGATTGTATATTTGTCTAATCTTTAGTCTGTCTTATCAAGTATCCTTGGTAGAAGGTTTTTATTTCAGTTATGAATAGATACTGCGGTATCGCGCGATGTCATTTTTGTCAATTTTTGAAGTACACAGTCTGGACAGTTTGTGATACTTTTGATTTTTTTGTGGTTCAGATAAGAGCGGTTACAATTTTAGACTTATTGTATGGTGGAATCGTTAATATTTCCTATTGTGATACTTCCTAATTATACCATAAAAGGGAATGTGAAAATCAAGAGGAGCATTACTTAGGACCATGTGAGTAACTTTCAAAGATATTCTTTCCACATATTATATTGTACTAACTGATTTTATAATCGGAGATTAGAATACTAAAAAGTATAGTAAGCTGATCGCCAGATACATGAGAAGTACATATGTATCTGTCCACGTGTAAATTTTAGGTAGGATTCCAAATCGAGTACTTGCTTGTGTACCTCAATGTAAATATTAATATATATAAATATAGACATACTTAAAATGACACTTTTTGGAAAGTAGCCTATTCTCTTCTCTATACTTCGTATAAACAATTTTTTTATTGTCGAGGTTTCTAGTGTCGAGTAGTCTATTTTTTCGCCAAGCTTCCATTATTATAATAACAAAAATAAAATGTGAGTAAATAGCATAGGAACATTAATTTATTGAACACATTTGCTTTGACATCTTTGAATAAGACGTGAAGATTTTGAGGGTTTGATATTTGTGAGCACGCCACATGATATTTATCCATTGGTAAAAAACATTTTTATTCTTATTGTGCAATATCCAACTACAACTTTCAAAATTCTTTCTTTCAAAATTACCGATCGCAGAATATTACTCAAAAGTATCTCATTACAGTTTGTGTATACCATTACAGTATTGTTTCGTCAAGATTTTATACTAATGGTATTGTAACACCAGGTTTTACACTCAACTGATAGGAAAGCACCTCTAATAACAGTCAGTATCGATAGCATTTTCCATGATTGTGTCCTGGATCTTCCCTACAACTCTTTTACGCAGCTATTATCAGGTTTTCAGAGCTCTATAACAAAATATGTTACGGTTTATGCTTCGGCGTTAAGTCAACACCTTCCGATTTTTATAATAATGTTGCTTATTATTAGGTAATTAGAAACAGCATTTTTTAATGTTTTCATTTCCTCACATCTATCGTGATACATTGCATTACTATTATTATATTATGCAACATATTACGGTATTAATAGTGCAATATTATGGAATGCTTTATGATTTTTGTTTCTTAGTTAGTCTCTAAGGGAACACACAGTATGATGTAAGTTTCCCTGTGTTTAAAATATCTGTAATAAAGTTAGTTTATATATCGACTATAGATAATAGATAAACACAATTATACACTAAATAAGTTATGTACTTATCTAAAAAATAAAACACTTATTACCTTGATTGGTAAAAAAAACAGATCTTTACTTCCTTTGTAAAATCATCTTTGTTTTTATATATATGAAAAGTATTTATATATCTGAACTCGGCAAATGATTGGGTCCTCTTAGTCCTCCTCGTCCTTGGGTCGTCCTGTCTCCCATACCGAGATTAGAAAAGTAGTCAGTGTCCCTTGCCTAGGTCATTTTTATATCTACACACAGAATTTACAACGAAAACACATAAATGTCACACCTCTTCAGTTATGTTAAGTGCTTGTTGTTAATCGGTATCCGTAAGGTAAGAGGATGTCTTAGACAGAACATGATTTAACATATTTTACTTGGCTGCTGTATAAATAAACACACGTTTCTCCAACATTATTACCTATTTGTGAGAATGGACAAGCGTTACGTTTCTCGTTAGCTGTGGTTATCATGTTTTCTGATTGTAAAATAATGTGATAACATACAACGAATACAAAAATTCTTATACCTCTAGTAATGTGTTTTAAATGTAAAAAAATATGTTTAATAGCCAATCAATTTAAAAAATGTACTTTTAATTTTTGGCCAGAATAAAGGTCAAAAATTTTGTAAAGGAATTTACATTGGCTTTAAGTTATATGTTACTGATAATTGTACTTAGCTGTATTTTAGTTTAATTCTTTCCACGTAATTTAATTTCATCTTTTTTACATTTTGATATAGGTCCGGAAAAATCTACATCATCATCTCATCAGGTTACTTACCAGTTTGTTCTATCTCAATAAAAAAATATTGATTGCACGTTTACAGGATACATACGAGTAGCTGCAATTTTACTGTTAGATTACTGTTGCATCTACATGTTATTTCTATTTTTATATTTATAAGAATAGAAAAGTAGGTATACTTCTAATCCAATGTATTATTTGATTCAGTTGTGGTGATTAGTGGCAATATATATGACTACAAAATAGTTTATGAATAAATCTTTGTCGGAGTAAACCGTTGATGAAGAATAAGTCAAATCAGTCGTCGCATAGGTCGCGATAGTAAAATATGTCGTGAATCGATTCTGTTCCCGGTCGTAACCGTGTGTCATTAATGGTAAGATCGTAAAGCCGCGGTCCGTACGATCGGAATGCGCTCTGAGGCACGCCTGCAAGCCGATAAACCGGCTTCTGTCTAGTGTTGCCATGTGTTGGCAGGTTTTATATAAATAAATGTAAATTGTTTGTGCAAATTTAAATGTATAATTATGTACTAATAAACAAAAAGTATACAATTGATACTAATGATTACTTATGACTAGGATTTAGACGAAAGTTAAGAATAACGTTAGTTATTTATTATAGAGGACATGTAAATCGGTTTATAAATAAATATTGAAACATTTATTCATAAACCGATTTACATTTTCTCTTTTAGCATGCAACATTATGCTTCTCAAATGTCAAATTCACTAAACTTTTTTTCGCAATATCTACGAAGATTTAGTTTTTTGTTTTAATTATTAAGTCATTGAAATTGATTCAAATTTAAATGAACGCTCTTAAAGAGCTAACTGAAAGAAATGCTACCTTATTAATATTTTGAATATAACACATTTACATATGTACCTACGACATTTAAATGAAATAACATGTATATGAGTCTGCTTAATTGCAGACTGATGAAAAGATCACTTAATAAATACAGTCATACTGAGCAACACTATGTTTGACAAAGGCTTCTGTCAGGGCGCTAATAAGCGCCTCCTCGGTGCGTTCGCTCGGATTGTTTACGAGCGCACCGCTCTGCTTCATTCGCAAGAGCGCATTCGTCTCGGAGCCTAATTAAAACGAGCCGTTGTTGTCTTGCCGACCGAACACCTGGATGAAATAGAGTGGTCACATACTCATTTTATTTTATTGGCTTTAGATACAATTACATATAATTTCATTTAGGTAATATAATTTTTTTCTATAGGCCCTGTGAAATGACGTCATGCAATTTACTAATTATAAGAGGGTCTTTTGGGTTTTATACATACCTCTTCTCTTATTATTTATTTGATACGCTGTAAAAAAATCAAAGGATACTAATAGTATGTTTAAATATGGAGTTATTATATCGACATTATTTCGTTCAATCCAGTAAATACCTAATTTAAATCTTAAGCCATAGTGAGTTCCGTAATCAAAATCGGAAAAAAACTTCAGATTTCGGGGCACGTTTTAAAATTTAAATAGCTGAATAACATGTCATTGTTTTATCTGAGTACTTTACGGGTAAATTTATCATCCTCAACTTTAAACATTATTAGTAATTTATATAACTTACACATTAATGTAGAAAATTAGAACTATGTTTCTAATGTAAGTACTTTGATTTTTATGACCTTGACTTACAGTAAATCTTTCAAAGTAATAAATCACTTAGTTGCGATGCAAGTCTTACGGTGGGCAAAATTACATAATAATTATTTAAAGAAATTGTAATGAATACTTTTTTAAATTGTGAATAAAAATAGTCTTCATAACTTTTGTTATTTCTAAACAATTAATTATAGAACAGAGTTATTCTCGAATAAGACCACCGTTCAGTCGAAGCAGTGGTTACAGAGCTTCAAGATGATTCTAATTGCTAAGAAGCCAAAACTAACTGACCGATGGTACCGTCTCTATAAGGTATTATAAAAAGTTGCCTGTGACTCCGATTTGACATCTCGATAACTAAAATTACGTTTAGGTATTTTAAATGTACATGTATGTATGTATTTCTAAAGAGAGGCCTATGTCCAGCAGTGGACTAATAAAGGCTGTTGATGATGATGATGATGATGTATGTATGTACAATTAATAGAAATTATTACTATCGAGACTATGATATTATAACATAATGGGGCGTATATTTTCAATGTGAGTTGTATATAGGGGAGGCGCGTGCAACAGTTTTACATGAGGACCACCACCAATTAGAAGTAATATCAAAACCGTCGGCTGGAGTGCCATCATTATCTCGAATGGCGCACGGGAAGCTCACTCTTTCACCCCTACAATTTAGGCATAAAATTCTATAAAATATTCATGCGTTTTGGAGACAAGTGGAGTGAGCAATCCTGAAGCATGGGGTTGGAATATAGTTAAAGCGTTTAGGTTGAGAGGCGTAGAGTGCCTTCAGCCTTTTGTAAAGTTTTCTATCGTTTTGGTGGGTTTATGGGCTCAGCTATTTTGTCAATTCGTGGGGGAGCGTGTTTCGTTTTGACAACGCTTGAATAAGGTGATGTAATGTGCGGAAAATTGCAATAGCATAAATTTAGAGTGGAATACAGCTGATTTAATAAAAAAAGTTGGTTAGTTTGTAAATAAGAACTTGATTTTCCTAATAGAGTAAGCATAAATATAGATAGTAGATGTGCAACCGCACCCAACACTATTCATTCTATATCACCAAGAATACTGAGTCTGAGATACTCTGACGCTATCTTTCTTTAGACAACTTAGGAGACACAAGTGCCAAGACACAAGCCATCACTCCCAGAATCAGCTGAGGAGGTGTTTGGGGCTCCAGTAAAACAACGAAACAGTTGTTTAAGACTTGTTTTTTTGTAAATGTCGTGTCACTCCGGTCGAGTCGGTCGGTCACGGTGAACCTACTTGACATTCTAAACCAAAAGTTAAATAAACTCCTCTATAGTGATGACCCCCATTTCTGTTTATATTATAATTGCTTGTAACTGTGGTACACACCGTGTGCACCACAGTTACAAGCAATAAATTATCCTGCTCGTCACTTATACTGTAAATTCCTGACTGAGTTTGCTTCTTAATTACGCTTTCATTCCTTAAACATTCAGGCGTTCATCGTTAAATTTTGTACATCTAATGGATAATAATCTAATGA